CAAACCGCCCCCTGATGAGGTCGCTAACTGGCAGCGATCGAAACTAGTCGGGGATGCCAGCAACCTCTGCTTTCTTAGTCACTCATATCCTGCAGGGAGACAGAGGTACCATAGCCAAGGCTATGGAGCACGAGCTTCGACGACCTATCTGTTTGAAGTTTCGAGATTTTTGTCACATATGATTGCCGCGTTCATCGTGGCTATATGTGTGTTAAGCGTTTTGTCGGTCACGACTGACTGACTCTGCTGTTTTCTATCATCAAAAATCAATCACAAGTTGCAAGAATGTCTCTCCTATGTTGCAACCTGGACTATTGTACATTTGCAAAAGAAATTCAGAAGATAAAGAGGCAATGAGAAAGAACAGCCCAGTGAGCATACACAACGTAACACAAGCCTGTCTTGGGCCTAACACTGATCACGAAGAAAGACGTGCACATGCAGAAAACAGATCGTCACACGTTTACCCTTTGTTTCACAAAAAAAGTAGTGATAACCTGCATAGTATGAAAGGGAAATGCCAAGTCATGTCCATGCGGACAGCATTGATACCGGGACTGATAAATATTAGGAAAGTTTGACCTAAGTCATGGGTATGAAAGGGAAATGCCAAGTCATGGGTAACGAGTCATGGGTTCTGTGCTGTTCAAATTTTCAGTTAGATGTTTGCTGAGTTCAGAACCTCCTGTTGCTGTTGCTCTGGTCTGTAATCGGAACACCTGCAAGGAGTGCAAGTAACTGACTTGAGAAGGGTTAATGTGCTATCAAGGGACGGTGGACCCGGTTTCCAGCAGATACATTCTAGATGCATTCCAGATACATTCCCTCTGTATTCTTAGTCCTAGGCGCCCTATGGATAGTGGGTGGATGGCAGGGATTAAGGGATGGAGGGAGATCCCACTGGTGCCCCCCAGTGCCCCCCTCCAATCCCCGGCCCAGCTGCAGGTAGGTAGGATAGGTAACGAAGTGATAATTTGGATTGGGACGCTGGACCCGGTTTCCAGCACACGGGCGTCACTCTTTTCATTGAGCTATTTAAGATATATCGTGGGACGCTGGACCCGGTTTCCAGCAGGTGATGCTCCCCACCAATAGATGGAGCGGCCCACCAGGCAAAGCCTCAATCTTGGTGGTTCTCTTACCACCACCAGGATGGAGTCATGGGTAATGAGTCAGGTCCTAGACGATCCGAATTGGATGGATGGTCCAGGGATAACATTGAGAGGCCTTGAGAGGCAATTTTATGGGCTGAGAACCCTTGATGTCAGCACACGGGGGCTTCGACAGGCACCCTTGGGGCCCAAGAAGCAAGCATTATAGGCTTTATCGAAAGGGGGGGATCATGAAGGCTTACCTATTCTCTTGGTGTAGGGTTGATGCCCTTATCTACAAGATGGATTCCTTGCTGCAGATCCAAGGACACAGACAAACTCCTGAACAACTATATAATTGCACTATGGGGCAAGATACAGTTTGCAATTGCACTTCAGGCACCCTACCTGGCCGGAAAGCTGGGTTGTATACATTGCCCGAACTGCACTTTGAAACTGTATCTTGGCCCATAGTGCAATTATAACTCATTTTTGTGACTCCCGCGTAGTTTCCCCTATAAAAAATTAGCCCAAGCCATGTCTGAATCCATCACAAACTCCTCCGAAATTTTCAGACAGAGCCTCTCATTGTTCTCAAGTTGCCTCGGGCCATGTACTAGTGGTTTAAGAATTTGTACCTACCACATTTTCTTTACATGTGAGAATAGGGAAAGTGACGGCATACGTATGTAGGAGATAGAGACGTATTGTGATAGCGGGTACCATGGATGTGATTCGCCCACAGCGGAGGGAAGTAGACTGAAACTCTCCCGAATCCGAGTGCAGGAGTCATAACATCATAACATCCATTGCCATCCACACACACACACACACACACACACACAGACACACACACACACACACACAGAGAGAGAGAGAGAGAGAGAGAGAGAGAGAGAGAGAGAGAGAGAG